AAAACCGTATTTCTGAAATATCTTTTAAGCAAAGTATAAAAAACGTTACGTAATATGTACATAATTTCATCAATTTGTTGCATACACTTAGAGAAGCAAAAATTACTAGCAAAATGCCCCGGCCTTTAATTAAACCACTCAAAAAGTTTCTTTTGTTGAAAAACTGTTTCTGTTCATTAAAAACCGAGGCAAATAAGCAAAAATTTGAAGTCGATCAACCAAAATTGAGTTCCGTGAACAGCTTTGAAGACTGTAGAAAAGGCGAAAATTTTAGCATCTCCAAGCGATGATAGAACAAGTAATTCATGTGGCCAGGCGTCACAAAAAAACTGCGCAGTATTTTGACCATGGTGAACTGAAAGGAGACGAAAGTTGATTATATCACTAGCAGAAGTCCAATGCCTAACTGCGGCTGTAAACCTGAAGGTCGGGCCCTAACTTATAGAAAATGCCCATTTCACTTTTTAAATGACCAATTTTATTAACAACGTTGAAAACTTTTAGAATAAGATCGGCTAGACCTCTAAACTCTATCTCTGAAAACTGAACTAATAATAAGGTTGAATTAGTAGTAAAGTTATTAAGTAGTTATGGGAATAATATGATGTTAAGCAACTATGATCTTTCAATAGTTTACGAGGAATGAGTTAACTTTAGCACCTCAAAGCTGATGAAAATAATAGACACGATTGGCAGGTGTCTATTTCGTAGCGATCAAACAATTTTGTCTATGTGGTGGCAGAGTATTGTCCACCAAGTCTTTGAGGACATAAGGTTGCAATGAATTATTCTATTATCATTTAACGTTGATCGTTAAATGATATTAGAACAATTCAGTTCAACTTTATGTCCTCAAACACTTGGTGGACAATACTCTACCACCACATAGTTAAAATGAGCACAGATTTAAAAAACAACAGATTGTCTTTTGAAAAAGTTACCTGAAGTTTCGAATCACTTTTTTGACTTTTGAAATTTTTTTATCTTTAGTGCTAATTAAGTTTCGAATCACTTTTTTGGCTTTTGAAATATTGTATTTATAGTGCCAATTAAGGCGACTAACTAAATGTTGTATTAAAGCTGGAAAATTGCACTGTCGAAGGAAACAAAAGTAAATCCGATTGGAGAATGCTAACGGTTTCAAGAAATTCGAAAAAAAAACATTCATCAATTTCATGATGAGAAAAAAAGATATCCACCTGAAAACTTATATCAAGAATCTCAAGAATCTTCAATCATTGTCCTTTGTGTGATAGAAAAATAATGAGAAAACGATCCAAAGAAAATTTTTTTACAAAATTTATTTTGAAATTCAAATTCATGTAATAATTTTGCACTTGCGTCACGTGAATGAAATAGGAAACAAAAGTCAAACTGATAAAATATCAATTTGAACTTAAGAAAAGATAATAAAGATTTTTTCTGAAACAAAATCCGTAAGCAAACTCACGCCGTAACTAACTAAGAAATAACTCGCTTCGTTCATCAAAACTTGAACAACATTGGGCAAACATCGTACCAAAAATAAGGTCAAAAAAGGATAACAATCAGAAAAAGATATATTTAAAGCCAATCTAACGCAAAGCTGCAAAAAATTGATTGAAAAACATAGCCAACAGACATTTGGAAAAGAGCCAAGGAACGACGCAAGGAAACAGATGAAAAAAATTGTTAAAATAGATGACCTTTTGCGTTTCGAGAAAAATCTATGATTGGTACTTTTTTTGATAAAATTAACCCAATTTGAGATAATTGAATTACTAGGTAAAATTTTCATTCCACCAAGAAATCTGAAATCCACTTCCAGAATTTACTCAGTAACTCTTTTTTCAAATCTCCTTGTTCTCAAATTGAGCACACTTTCTCTGCTCTTCGAAGGAGCAAAAATCTATTAATAGTAGTAATAGACTGATTTAAAAAACACACACTTTTCCGAGACTATCACCATTATCCGACCCGAACCACCCGATCAACCCTTAAGCGTTTAAAAAAAGCGGATGTAACTAACTCGCTCAAGTTAGCTTCACCTACTCGAATATTAGTAATATTACTGCTTTATAATACGAACGGGTAATTGACTGTTTGAATTGAAACTGCCATAACTCACTTATTGTCTCGTTCACGTTTTCAACGAATTGGCATTTGTTTTTGCAAAAATAATACTCAGTTATGTCCAAGTTTTAAAATCGGCAACTGTAAAGGACTGACATCAGCGATCCATAGCCAAAATCTCAGAAAAAAGTTGATTGATTACTTCACTTAAAAGTGGAAATCTGGATCAGAAACAAGAAGTCGCCCATTAAGTTTTTATGAATCTAATTACTGTCGGAAGTATTTGAAATTTGTGAAAATTTTTATCATAACGACTCAAGTTACATTTGCTGGCTCAAAACTTTTTACCGCCGCTCAAGTTGTGAGCAACTTTTTCAGGCAACTAAACGTTGAGCAAACAAGAAAATTTTACAAACTTGAATCACTTGCCAAAAAAGTTTTAGGCAAGTTAGTAAAAAAACGAACACTTCAAAGTCGCTTAAAAGACGAAACTTCCAGAATTTTTATTTTTTTTGTCAAACAAATAATTTTTACACTCATTTGAAAAAAAACTATGATAGCCTAACCTAGTATTGATTTTTTCCGAAGCATTGCTCACCTTGCAAGCATTTCTTGGTTGGATTTTTCGAATCGGAAAGATTCGAAACTGGTACTTTCCAGGTCTCAATGTATTTGTGTTGACTTAGTCGTGCTTTCATAGTCAGAGTTCAGAATTCTAGTAATACTGAATAAATTCCGTGTTAGATTAATACGGTCCTGAAAGACTTCAATTTAGTTTGACGCTATTCAAATTGTTTAAGCGATCTAGTTAGGGATTGAACTTTTCCAAAATGCAATGAACTTCAAAAATGATACTGAAGGGATGGTTAAAATTGACGTTTCAAGTCCTGGTAGTTTTTGTTAACATTATATTGCAAAACCATATCAAAATCTACTAAGAATCAACGCCTACTTCGAACTTATTGTAAACTAAAAACAGATAGCCTGTTACTTTGCAAATAGCAGAGAATGCTCCGACCAAGGTCTTGAAAAAAGTGTAATTTCAAATTCCTGTCGGTTTTTGTGTGGTGCGATAAAAAGATCTGAAAAAAGAAACAGAAATTTAGGAAAACAGTTTTGTACAACATTGAACAGAAAAACAAAAAAAAATGTAAGAATTGCTTCTTTATTTTTTTTGTTGTTGAATTTTTTTGAAAAATTGATTCTCGAAATGGCGCAAAAACTCGATTATTCGTGGTACCTGATTTTGCGTGGAAAACAAGAACAAAAAAGTAAAACACACCCGAATACAAAAATCCTCCACATTTTTCATATAGTTGGAACAAAACAATTGGTGCCACCTGATTACTCATTTCAAAGTTGTAACTCTTGATAGCAATCTGTGAAATTCAGTTTCAAGAAGATGGTCAAAAATGAGGTATTCAGTGAAACGTTTTAAACATGATAACCTGCGACAAACAAAATGAAGTGAGCCAAGGAAGTCGTATCAAGTGATGATTCTGTTCAAAATTTCAAGTTTCAAGACAAGTTTAGCGTAAGTGAAAGTTCAAACAGAAAATCAAAAGAATTGTACTTGATGAAATATTATTTAAAACCTAATCTCTTGAAAGCTTTCTCTAAATCTGAAATTATGAAACAAAAGCAGTAATTGATATTGAGCCTTTATTCAATTCAGTTTCAAGTCCTCGTGGACTTTTTCAAGCTTTGATAGCTTTTGCTGAAAATGAAGCCAAAAAAGAAACGTCAAAAGAATTGCATCAAGTCATGATTAAGTTCAAAGTTACAAGAATTGAGAGCCTTATATTCTGGTTCTTTTGAATTTCAACGCAAACCAAATTTACATGGAAAAATTTCAAAATTGCTCCAATAAAATATAGCCAACGAACAGTTGTTAAAGAGTCAATGAACGCAAAGTAACAGAAAAAAACTGACTTGATTTCTGAAAAACTTTTAATTTTTCATTTTCAAAGTAAAAAATATATAGCCTTAGAATTCAATTAATTATACCACTCAACACGCGTCTAAAAACCAATTATAATCGGCCCTTTTTTGTTAAAATAAATTCAGTTTCGGAAAACTGGAGTGTTAGTAAGGTTTTTATTCCGCTGTGCTAACTAAAAGATAAATTCCACCATCAAAACTGAAAATCAATCATAGTTTTTTAGGCCTCCTCTTTTGTTATTCTAGCGGGAATTTTGCCTACCTTTTAGCAAATTAACTTGAATTGAACTCAGGTGGACAAACATGTAACATGTATGAATGCACTTCTGTAGTTATTAGAGCATATTAATAATAATATTAATTAATAATTGTAGTTCCTGCGAATCGCAGAGGAGCTATCAGTAGGCCTTAACAGTCCTGTCGAGGATAGCCCATTTGTATTATCTCCCCATATTCCAGACTGTGTTATTTTGTTGAGCGAAGCTGTTTTTTGCGACTCAAGGCCTTTTTTTTTACGTCTAGAACTTTTACGTGGTACCACTATTGCAGCCAAATTTGGTCAGGTTGTGGTAGACCTGAAGCTGGAGGTCAAGTGAGAGCTTATCCTCACACACTATCATTGCCATGGCATGTGATCGAATACACGATCTGACGATTTCAAATTGCACGCCTCACCACTGTGCTAAGTGCCTCCTACATTAAAACAATTTTTTTGCAAAAGACGAAAAAAAAAGTTATCACGACCTATATAAAAAAATAAATTAATTAAAACATTAATACAAACAATTTTTGGTTTAACTGTCTGATTCTCACATCCAAAATCTAATGTTAACTTTCTGTTCAAACAGAATAGTAACAGTACCTTTAGCCATTTTTTGGCTTTCGGCAAACGAATTCCCTTCTACGCCTTTGGAGCTACAACAAAAATTTGTCAAAATGTAGAATTGTGAATTTTGATCAAAATTTGAAGCAAATAAATAAAATTTGAAACATTGAATTTACAAAAATTTACAAACGCAAACTTTGAAAAATGAATATAAACACTCGATCATACAATGAATAAACTGTTCTTATAAATTATTTAATTCCAAATATATAAATTTAATTCTTAAACGCTGGTATGCTTCTTTGATTAGGAACTTCGAGAGAAAATTTACAAAACCGAACAAGCACAATATGTACAACATCAGTAATTTACTAACTATACTAAACTGCAAAAATATACAAAAATGAGCATATTGCAAAGAAGGATTGCGTCTCGAGGTAAAACTTTTGCTTAAAACTACTGAGACATAACCCAAACACTGTTAAAGCAACCTGCGATAATGAACACAACGCAATATGAAAAATCGCTTCACTAAAAACAGCCCAGCCGAGCTGGCAAGTTCGGTTAATAAATCAGCCGTAAGTAAAGAGTTGTCTGCTCAGAATCACACTGTAGAATAGATTTATTCACTTGCTTCGCTCTTCTTGAGCGTTCTCGTTAAGTAGAGTTCCTCGTCAAACTTCGCGGCATAATTTAGTGGGTCCGTCGAACTGCAGCGGTTCGTCCACTCTCGACATTGCATTATTTTTCAGTCCATTGTACTTTAACGTCATTGAATGTAGAGATGATTCAAACAAGCCCTAAGCCTTTGTGACTTTCTTCTCAATCGAACTTTGATTGTAAATGAATCCGTTGTTGCTGATGGCGAGCAGTCAGTTGAACAATTTTGACATCGAAATTATCGAAGTGCTACAGTCATATGATGCATACTGAAATTGGGTTTTCAACAGCTTCTTATAGCTGTGAGATCTCAAAAACCAGTTTTAATTTAAGTGGAAGTATCATTGCAGAAGAGGAAGAGATGATGATGATGTGGGTATTATTGTTGTTGTTTTTAGCCCTCGAAGGGGCGCGTCCGGCATGTCCAAACTGAGTCCCAGAAACGACGATGCAAATTCGGCCGGTTGATGCTACAAGCCTGTAAATGATGTGGAGTGTGTATAGTGGGGAGGGGTTACGAGTTGAGTAGCTTTGAGAGTCCGAAGTTATTGAAGGAGGAGGAGAAGGACTGTCCCAGACTGTTGCCACTGTTCGAGGCCATGCTCTTCACCTGCGGGGGCACGAACTGGGAGGCGGCGGAGGCCATAGAGGGCATCTGGGGCATACTGGCCGGCTCAGGGCTACACAAAACAGAACAACGTCAAATAACTTCATCTCATGCACTCCAGATTACATACCATTGCATAACACATTCGGTTAAACACTTTATGACATATTTAATCAATTAAAGGTATGCATCAATTTTAATTTTTAGACAATAAGACAAGAAAACCCAGACATCAGTTTGGTCAGGTTGAAAAAATATATATTTCAATTTTATAGAGTGATGGTGGCTCAGTACTAGGAAAGGAAAATCTTTCAAATTTTGTCAGTGAGTGCTTCTGACAGACAAGAATATGTTCAGCAATTATTAATAGTCAATAGAAATTTAGACCTCGATATGATGGTTCAAAAATAGTGCAGATCATCACACCTGGATAGCGCAGAATATCAATGCGTACTGAACATGCGAATTCAGCGTAATATTCTTCAACACAAAAATTTGTCTGCAAGAATAGTTCTTTCATTTGAGGATGTAAAATTGAGTAGACCCCCATAATAAATATAATGCATCAAATCGGTATTTGCTTTTTGATTAATTCGAACTTTACTGTTTTTTTTTCGACCTTTTGGTCAAGTTTACTTTATTTTTAGGCCTAATTTCCTGATACTCTGTATTAAGTGTCACTGAGGAAACAGTCAGGTTAAAATTAGTTTACCCACCCCCAGCAGAACAATGATCCTTTGAGCCAATCTTACATCAAGAACATACATAGATTAGTAAGCTTGATTGACATCTGCGAGCACATGAACACTCTAATATTTTCTCAACTTTCACTTAAGATACAGGAAATTAGAACATCTTAAGACTGGTTGATTTTCACGAAGAATTTCCTACTATTTTTAGACAGACGCGAAGTTGCACTTTGCAAACAATAAGGATATTACGGCAAAAAAGTTAGAAGAAAAGAAGCCTTGAAAAACAAAAATTTCCACCTTTCGAATTAACATAAGCTTCAAGTAGACAGAAACAAGTGACTGCTTTCAACTCTTCTAAATTAAAATTTGACCAGTCAGAATAGGAAAAATGGTCGGAACAAAAAACAGTTGAGAGGCTATACAATCTCCCCGACCAATGAGCAAACATCCTTCAATTTACATTATTCAATGAGTTTTTTGTTTTCCATTAATGATAAAACTCTTTTTGAAATACAAATTGTTGAAACTAATTTCCATACTTTTTGAGAACCCTTGACTAGGCAACAATGAATGCGATAAAAAAAGATATAGCTAATGTTATTGTTATATAAATAGCCAAATAGGAATTAAACGACGTATGCAACAGGCTGCCTTTAGAAACTGAGCTCACTATTAGAAACTGAAAAATTCAACACAAAGCTGCTACTTAGGCTAAACAATTATATAAACTTATAACACGAGTTTTGCTGGTATAATTTAAAAAATTGTTTTATATTTCGTGCGGATAAGAAGTTTTTTATAAATCGTTGGACTTAATCAGAACACTTTTCAATAAAATTTGAGACAACTTAAGAGCATTCAGAGCATCCAAGCCTCTGCCTCGATATGATCATTCACACTGAACGTTTAAACGCACACTGTAATCGCGCCCTGTAAAAAAAAACAATTTTGAATTTATTAGATGACAAATTTGGACTGAAGCTCTCCTACAATTTATTTTTCCAAAACTTCAGCTATTGTGAAACAACATCCAAGTTTCTAAAATAACGTTCTTTTTCTTATTGCTTGCTCAACCACAAAAGAGTAAGAAAAAATTAAAGAGTGAATTTATTACGCAGAGGCGAAGCTGAGCTTCGCACCACTTGCGATACAAAACAAGAAAATGTCGAAAAACTAAATCTATCAAAATGAATTATTACGTCACATTCACCTACAATACACAAACACACAAAACTTTATGTGTTCGTCAAATAAAAAAATATGAGCTCACTAAGACGATATAATAAAATACACACTCACATTAAACTTCTTTCCTTGTCTAAAACGTAATATAAGATACATGAGCCGATTTTATAAAGGCCCAAACCAAACCTATCAAGCGGAACAAAAAGGAAAAAGAAAAAAAACAAAAAAGCCGAAATGTTGTCATGAAAGACTATAACCTCTATAAAGATTTAAGGCATTTTATACAAGCCAGAGAGGTGCATAAACAAAATTGCCTGAAACTTCTCAAAATCAAGCCGAAATCATTTGGGCAGAATAAAGTTAGGCAAAAAAAAACATTATACCAAGTCAAGGTTAGCAGAATTAAATATTGCAGATGAAAATGAAAACATCGAAAAAACTACCATCAAAACTGAAGACAGCAAAAAATTCCAAATGTGGCAACTAAGTCGACAAAACATAAGCAGTCAACTAATGAGCCGACAATTTTTTGGATACGGAATATTTCGTTTGAAAAAAATAGGTACTGTCCGATTCAAACCCAAGAACTTTTCCGTCCCAGGTGTATTCGTTACCTCCAGATCAAGTGAGCCGGAGACACAAAGAAATATGAATTTACACAGAGGTGAAGCTGCGCTTTGCTAACACTGGCGGGAACAGCATAAGAAAAATAGAAATAAGCCTCGAATTAGTAAAACTTTGCTATGTATCAACTTGGAATTTAACAAACTGAAGCCATCTATACTAACCAAATGCATTTCAAAAAATTGCAAGATATAATGAGTTGGAAAGTTCCTGAAAACGAGTTTTTATTATTGTACTGATATTTGAAGCAAATCGTTTTTTTTTTTCAGTTCATTTGAACAATGAGAAAAGCATCAACTGTTTATAATTATTACTAATCAAACGTCAAAGCACATTCTACCAAAAAGCTGTAAAGGTGCCCCAAAAGTGCACCGCAACCTTTTACATTTATGACATGGAAGGTTTCGAGTCTTTTCAATTAATCCGCCCAAAAATTAAACAGCGCATCATTTGCTAATTGACCATACTATTTTTTTAACTTATCAGATTCGAGCTTTTTTCATAATTAGAGATTTGGCAAATGGACGGAGTAAACAAAAAGACAGATCTTCTCTTGCAAATTCTTGATGGATTTAATTTCATTGAACAAAAACAAGCCGATCAGATTGCTCTAGACATTTAAATACCAAATCTACTAACTTAATAATTTCTTCGATTACGTAATGACCCATCACCCACATAAAGAAATACCCGTCAAGAGATTGAGCTTTGGTCCTCAATATGACTGCTAGAAAAAATCAAGTTGATTTCAGGGCCTGTTCAGAGCCTGAAGATGCAGCAAATGGTCGATTGTGATCAAAACTATTCACTTTACACATATCATAGTCTTCGTGAGTAGCCAACCAATCAGTTTTGTAGCAGTACATTCTAGCGGTAAAAAGAATCCGAATCACAAAAAAGAGTTTAATACACTTAAAAGCTGCAAGTTATTGAAGCAATGCATTCAAGAGATCATTGGTATAAATAATTAAATAATAAGGACAACCATTAGAGGAGGATCAGTTTTTAGGACCAACAAGAACCAATTCAGCAGTCGATATAGTAAAATCAATTATAGAAGAAATTTTGTTCAAGTGCGAAACATCAGTTTTGTTTGCAAGATTTTGGCCATTAGACATTAGACGTACATGAATTGGTTAAGACTGTGGCTCAAATTATGAGCAAATGAGGTCTCAAAAAGAGAGGAATCAGGCCTGAAACCAGATTGAATCCACAGAGTTAAAATAAACCAGCCAAAAATTCTTATACGAATGAAATTTGCCTGACTTTCTTGCAATCACACGACTATTATATAACAATTACGCATTTTCGACTGGTTTATATGGTAGCTGGTTTATACTTCGACTTTTACGAAGCTATCCCGATCTTTTAAGCTATGGCCCTTCCTTCTATTGCAAGGTACCAAACTCGTGTAGCATTAATCGTTAATTTAGTTGATTATAGGGGGTGGCAATTCTTCACTACGGAACCATCAAGTACTAGGGGCGGCAATTCGGAACCATAGGGGAGGGTTGTAGTTAACAAGTACCATTAGGAAGGGTAGTTCCAGCAACCAGTCCGCTACTTAACACTCTTTCAAGATTAGTTTTTGTTGAATAATCCAAACAAGTAGTTCATTATTTTAAGCTTTGGAGTTATAATTGAAAAAACAAAGAATGTGGCTATTATCGCTCAAAAAAGATCTCCAGCACTCAATAGGGTAAGTTCTCAAAAGGTTTAAGGAAAGACCCCGAGATAAAATTCCAAAACAAGAAGTAGTTAAATCAAAATAGTCTTACTGCTTTTCCAATTCTCTCAAAGCTGGATATTTATTGAATCCAAACTTTTATCACAATTTTTGTCAACTAGTCGAGGCTGTTTTTGACGATGTCAGTCTCTTGAAGAATCTAGAATCACGGTCAAACCTCAAAGAAACACGTGGTGGCGATAAGGCTACGACAGATCTCTAAGTTCTGTTTATCAATCTACAATACATATCTATATTTCCGTTCAGTGTAAGTACTGTTTAGGCTAACAGGTGGTCATTAGTATCTTCATCGTTCTCTTCTGTTCGTAACAAAACGTGAGTTTTTTACAAGAAATTAGTTGTATTACTGCGCGGCCCATTCTTCATTTGCGAACACTACTATTACCATTAAAGTTAAATAATATTAGCAACAAGACAGTTACTAACTCAGTAGTAAGTTGTTGCTGACTGAAATTTTTGCCTCTCAGCTTTTTCGCACACTTTTTTCCAAGTTATTGAATTTTTTGATGGTCAAGTTCATCACCCGAATAACTTTGTACATACCCGGGTGCCTCGGAGCGCCGTTCTGTCTTGGCCTTGATGAACTCTCTGGCGACGGCGTCATTATTCCTCTGGGCTAGGATGCGCAGGATAGTCCACCCAGTGTCGTCGTAATGTAGATATCTACCCAGAGTCAGCCAGCTGGCGTGTGTTCCCTAGAGACAAGAGAAAACCAGAGTTAGTGCAGAAAACCAAATTTGCTTTGAGAAAGGACCACTAACGAACAAAAACCTCAATTTTTAAAACTCAAGTATATTTACGCGTATATTTAAGTATAAATTTGAGTAAAATTTTTGCTTTTTGTTCCCAATTAAACATTAACATGAGAGTGGTCAGCTCTAATTTTTCAGTTCATGCCAAGCTAATGGCATTGAGAACTTTTTTCGGACGGAAAATAGCGCTTCTAGGATAATTGTATTTTGCGAACCTCCGTTTACAAGATAGCAAAGCTGAGACTCAATCATTTACGAATCGGTTATAGAACTGAACATAGCCGACAGATGGTGGAAAGGGTTTGAAAAACTCAAGAAAACCAAAGTTGATAGTAAATTATTGAAAGTAAATTTTTAAAGCTGATAGAACATTTTGAAAAATCGCAATTGAGCGTGAACAAACTTTCAGACTTTTCCAGAAAAAAATCATCGCGACCAATATAAGAGTCAGAACTATATTCATCTCTTAAAAACAAAAAACTAGTATAGTAAATTACAGTATAAAACTAGTATATAAATATAAATATGTATAGTAAATTACAGTAGCAAACCAAAGCTACAATGAAAATGGCTGACATCGAAAAATTTGGCAACTTAACTTAGAAAAAAATCAGAAAAACGATAGGCCAACAAACTTTAAAAACAGAATATTTTAGATTAAATAAAAGGGTCGGATTCGAACCCCTGCCGTTCACGGCATAGTCGTTACCTCTACGCCAAGTTTTCCGGACAAGCCAAGAATTTGAATTGATTATAATCAAGCTATCAAATGTTTAACAAGTTGCTAACCTGAAAAAGTATGCACCGATTGGATATTAATAGATAATCGCAAATGTAAACGTTGATCCGACCAAGTTTTGAAAAATTCTGGACTGATATCACTTCAAAATTCCTCAAAAAAGCAGTCCAAAAAGTCAAACTGCGGAAAATCAAATTTAAAAGTGAAAAGTAAGAATGTTAGCTGAAGTAAGAAAAAAAACAAAATCATCATGCCACTAGAAGTGAAAAACAGCCAACAGACAGATGAAAAAGAGTCAATGAACTCAAGGAAACAAAAAACTTTAACTTTGAAAATTCAAAGTAAAAATATTTGGCCTTAACTCTCTTCGAATTTCGAAATGAATTTAAAATCAACTCAGTTTGACAAAATTTTACTGCGCAGGGAATTTTAATTAAATTCAACTTTAACTGAGAAATCGTTGACGCTTTTGGCTCCATTTCCACGTTCGTGTTTGGAGATTGCAATTTACCTAACTTTCAGCAGATGAAATAAAATTGAACTCAAAAAGTGCATAAATACCTAAGTGCATTTATAAATGCATTAATGAGCATGAATGCAATGCTGTAGTTATTAGAACATTTTAAGAATATTCCCAAACAAAAACATCACGACCTATGTACGAGCCTTCACTACGTTCATCGGCTCTAATCACTTCGTTCTTCTAGATATTAAGATCGCGCATTCGTCAAATTATCCGAAAACATAGCCAACAGAAGTTTGGAAAAGAGTCATGAAGGCAAGAAAATAGAAACAAAAAACTGACTTGTTTTTTGAAAAAAATTTCAACTTTCGAAATTTAAAGGGAAAAATATAAGTCCTCAAAGCCTTCTGAATTTCAAAATTAATTTATGATTGGTGCTTTTTTAGATAAAATTAACCCAACTAAGAAAAATGCATCATAATGTAAAAAATTTATTCCACTGAAAATAAAAATCCTATTCGAAAGTAGAAGTCGATCTTAGTTTTCGTGACCTTTACACGTTTGCTGTTCAATAGCGGATGCCTTTCGTTCAACAAAGAAGATGAAGTGAATTTGGAAAGAAATCAAAAGTCAAACCACTAAAAATCAAATTTGAGCGTGAACAAATTTTAAGAATTTTCCTGATAAAAAAAAACAAAAAAAATCATCGCGACCTATATAAGAGTCTTAACTCTATATCGAATATTGCACAAAGCGAGAAGTGACTCGACAAAATAGTGACAAATAGTCGACAAAACAATCAAAATATATTCAACAAAGTTTAAACACTTTCGTTAAATTCAACGATCGACTTAAAGATTGGTTCGACCCCTAAAAATGAGCCACAAATTAGTAGATTTAATTTGAATCTAGGCGATAAAATAAAAATTGTACCAATGGAAAATCAACCAAGCCAAAAAATTGAATATAATTGAACATCAAAATTAAACGTTATCGATAGAGGTGCAATGAGGAAAGCAAAACAAATATTGTTGAAACTAGCAGATCAAACAAATGAAGAACTCAGCGATCATTTTTCCAGTTATTTGATTCATAAAAAAACAGCGACAATCCGCAAAAAATAAAAATATTTGTATTGCTCAAAACCTTCACAATTAAAATCTGCTATATCTCTTAAACAGGCATGGCAATAGTTCAAGGTTTAACTACCAGAACAAAACCGAGATAATTTATTACCACATCTCGTTGCATGAAAATACATTCTTTTAAACTGAAAAACGAAACAATTTCAAGTTGAGGACAAGTTTACATATAAAGGTCTCCTAATAAGTTAAACTTAAAACAAAAAGTGCAGAAAACCTTTAACCTGACTACCTTTTTTTTGTTTTGCTTAGTTTATTTATCAATCAAACATCAAATTGATGGGTTATTTCTTAGCTGCTTATAGGATAAAAATGTCGAGTAACTGATTATAAGACCCATGTTATTCTGATTGGCCCACCAAATTATCGCGCATTTTTGGTCAATGAATATGAACGAAGTGCAATGAAACAAAATCTTTCATATGATGTCTGAAACGCAATTTAACTTGCGACAACAAAGGTCTTATAATCATGTGCTACAGTTAAATGAGTTTCAGACATCAAATGAGCAGTTTTGCACCATTGATTTTTGTTCATTTTTGTTGAACACAAAAGATGAAGGAGTCCCCCATGCGCGAAAACCTTGTCAGCCAATCAAAATTGATAAATAAAAAGCAAAAAAGTAATAAAAACTTAGCCAATAGACAGTTGGAAAAAAGTCAGGTAAACTAAAAAAAATCTTGTTCTGTGAAAAACTTTCTAATTAAAACAAACAATATATGGCCTTGAAGCTCTTTGAATTTCGAAAACATATAACTAAAAAGTAATACTAAAAATATATCCACAAATGCAATACTATGTATGAATTTTAAAACATTTGCCTTAAAAAAAAACAAAAAAATCACCAAGACCTATATTAGAGTCTTCACTACGTTGATCAACTCTTGATCAGTCATTTTGGACAGTTTAAAGGTAAATGATTTATTGAGATTTTTCGTTCATTCAGTCCTTCGCGCATGAGAATAGCCTCCGAATTTGCCAACAATTTAGCAATAGTCATACAAATATGAAATACTTCTAAAACGTCTTCCGAACATCAGCTAAATTAAGTTTTAAAGAAAAAAAATGAGTCTTAAGCCAGTCGAATTAGAGAGCATGTACAATTTAAAGCTAATTGTAACTCGGAAATGAAACACAGACATTTTAAATTATTAATTAAAGCCAGAGTTATTGTCCCACTGATTGAAAATAAATGGTTATTGCATAGCTTCATTCACACCACTTACAGAATTACTCTTCTGAAATAAAAACACATTACAGCCATACCTCCAGCAACTCATCATTACCAGTCTTTTAAACAAAACATTATCTGAACTCGTTTTTTCCACTAAATTTCTATGCGTATTTGTTCATACTTAGACAATAAATGTGAAGTTTAAGGTGTTTCAACCATTTTTCTGCCAAGATAACAGCTTAACCCCCCTCCCCCTCTCCCCGACTGTATAGCAAGGGAAACGCAAACTCATATTATAAGGTACAAACATCAAGTATTATTTAATGTTCAAGTATTTTTTTAAATATGGCGGATATTCTTTATTCGGCACCATATGTGGGGGGTTATAATGTAATCGAAATCCAAAAAATCATACCAGTAGTGTTGTGAACGAACCTGATCAATTATATCTCTGAACTGTATGACTGATACTCCCACCAACTGGTCTGAGCGACCGAAGCAGTAGTCTTTACATGCCACGTGCAGCTCATACACGTCCAGATCTTCCTCGTTGCCTACAATAATCATTCTTTTATTACTTCCTGCTATTACTGAACATTTGGAAATCATTATCATTTTAAGCATATGAAATTATATTGTTATATATTTTTCTAAAGTCGTCGCGTGAGACGACAAATCGCCTAAAATGACAGAAATTAGATTTTCAATTCTATTTTTGTATAAAAGATTTGTCGCTTACAATCAATTGTCGCCTTGGTGAATGGATGGTACACGTCATATTACCACAAGACAAATTAACCTGACACATTGTATTAAAAACAAAGAGCCCCCACTGAAATATTTGATATTTTTGGCAGCGATAAAAACACTATAGCACATCTAGAAATATTTTTTCGAATTAAATAAATATGTTTTGCTCATCTCAAAAAGAAGGAATAAGAATAACGAATGATGATAATGCTACCTAGCAAGAAGACAAACTGTTCGCCTATCTTTGGGGATAGCATGTTGGGCTTCTGCTTCGTGGCTTCCCTTCTCTTCCTGTCCTGCAGTTGGGGTCCGAACAGCCAGATCTCCACGAAGGGCTTGAACACCCCAGTCGTCACCCACCGAAGGTCATTGGCCGCCACAACTAAATCACAATTGGGACATTGTTTGATAGTGTTATTTATAATTTCATGCAATGTGAAATTTGGCCCTTTTCCAGTCCCCCCCCCCCTCATTTAAATTTTCTTTTTATATAGTTGTTCTACGTGTTATTATGACTAAATGCGCAAAAATGAAAGGTGTAAAGAACAAATCTGTTCACAATTATTAGTTTGTTCACAATGCAAAGTTTCATTGCATTATGACAATTTTAAATTCAAAGGTGGGAAAGTGAAAAAAAGACTGAAATTTTACCATATTTAGTGAAAAAAATGTTGGTTTTTCATTTTAGTTGGATGTTTGTTTGGGAATATAACGGCCACAAAACTTCATGTAATGCGATATTTGCCGTAATTTGTAAAAAAAAAAACTTTGGTGTATATTTTTTCGCAATTTTGTTGGTTATTTTTTTTTTGCAAAGATCACAACAGCTGTGTGATCGGAACATTATGTCACTAGTTGTAATGAGCACTCACTGTTGACTGTGACCTTGTGATCTCCCGTGCCTGGATGTGTGAACAGGTCAATCTGGATGGATATCTCTCCCACAGGGTCGTCCACACTTGGATTGTCCTGTGCATTCTGGGTCACTATGAATGTCTTAATCAGAGTGTCTGTGGTTTGAGAGTAGAGTGAGAGAGCATAACGAAGAGACTGCAGCTCACGAGACTTGTCCAGGTAGCTGCGTTTGAGGCCGTGTTCTGAAATAGCACATCAGCACCAAATCAAATCTACTCCACATTAACAAAATCAGTTTATTTTCCCTCTTTTTCTGACTCAAAGCTGGGTCCAAAATTAATCCATAACTTTTATAGTTCGCAAAAATTGACACAGAGACGAAGCGGAGCTTCGCGCCACTTGCAATACAACACAGACAAAAAAAAATGTAAGCAACAACGGACAACAATTGCACTTGCAACTACAATGAAAGTTGTTCACAGCACAAGAAAAATCATGAGGAGAAACAATCTTTGAGCTGAAACCAGTTGAAACGAAAAAAAAAGATTTTTTATTTTAAAAAAAATCTTTCAAGTCCCCCGATGAAATTAGAATGAACAGCACTTGCAACTGCAATGAAAGTTGCTTTGAGCAACAAAAAATCAGTGAAAACCTTTCAAATCCCCCCTTGAAATTAGAATGAACAACACTTGCACTTGCAACTACAATGAAAAATGTCTACAGCACAAGCAAAAACCGTTGCGGCAATTTAGACTCGAACCCCAGACTTTAGGATACAAAGGCAACAGCTTTACCTACAGGCCAAGGAAGAAGTAACCGGGAAGATGTTAAAAGAAAAAAAACAAAGTGATTCAACTGATTTTAAATAACTAGTTATTAAGTAGAAAAAAGTCTATATTCTAGTTTGATAACGCTTGCTAATCGTAAACGTAACCAATTATATTTCGTTTACTGCATCAATGCACCAAAACTTTTTAATGTAGAAGCGAAGCAGAGCTTTGCACCACATGTGCTATGTCACAAATATAGCATTGCAAAAAACGAAACGGAAGCTAATAAGAACAAAATACGAAGACAAGACGAAAAAACTGTCAAAAAACAAGATCTATGAAAACTTCATATATTTGTCTCAAATTACGATAATTTTGAGGAAAACATAATGAGTCACAAAATCACCTGCATTATGAGAACCTTAGAAAAAATTATTTCAGGCGCAAATATGCCCAAAAGACTTGGGTGGACGCCCATTGAACCGAAAACTACTGTTTTTTTAAAACGTTATTAAGTATTAAAACTCAGTTTTATGCACCCCTGAAATGCACAGGAGCATAAAAACCAAAATTCGGCCTTTCAATGATGCAATAAAACTTGACTAAGGCGATATAACAAAAGCCTTAATCATTTAAGCCGAGTAAAGCGAGAAAAAACATAAACAGGACATAAGACAAATTAGGGATGATAAATTCTCATATTACAGATAAAATCAAAATGACGTCAATAGCATCAAAAGCTCATTAAACCAGAAGGAAAACCTATACTTTAGAAAAAAAGCTGACAAAAATAAGCAGAACGTCACCTTAAAAAGCCAAACAAGGACACCACAAAAAGTAAGTGACCCTCAAAAAGTCTGCCAAACAAGGACGTCACCTTTACATTGAACGGGTAAAATGAGTACCTAGATCTTATACTTTTAAATTAAGCCAAAGATTTCAGCTGAAATCTTGCGAAAAAAGTATTGTATGCAATAGCAAAAGTATTGACCTTGTATTCAATCATTTGGAAACATAGCCAACACACATTTGGAAAACAGTCAAAGAAAGCAAGTAAACAGAACCAAATACTGGTGGTTTTTTAAATCACAATTTTGAATTTCAAAAAAAAATAGATGGCTTTGCTCAACACTTTCAAATTATGCTCAACACTGTTTTTGATAAAATTAACCCAAGTTGATCAATAGGCACAAATGTGATTCCTTTGCATAATCTGAAAACTTAAATCCACCTTCGAAAAAAGAGTTCGATCACGTTTTTTGTAACCTTTACGCTTTTGCAGTTCGATTGTGTAGTTTGCCTTCATTTTAACAAAGTAAATGAACTGAATTTAAAAAGAAATCAGTCGGACTGCGAAAAAATAAATTTAAAGCTGAACAAGACTTTAAGACTTCCTGAAAAAAAAATAAAACAACCTATATAAGATTCTATACTACGTGAGATAACAAAAAATCAAGTTTGAGCGCGAAAAATATTTACTTTTTCCTTAAAAAAAAACAAAAAATCGCATGACCTACATGAGCGATAAATCACTTCGTTCATGAACACTTAATAAATAGAGTGACTACCCACTTCCATCAGCAGTGAAAATGGTCTTGATGATGTCGAGGCCAGAGTGAATGATTGCACACTGCTTCTGGGTGAGGTTCTTGTCCTCTAGCAGAGACAGAGTGAGCTGCTGTCTGTCTGAGAGAGGTGGCAACACTATCTTCTTCTCTAGCTTCCCCATCGCTATCTTCCATATCTCCTGCAACATCCACAACTCAATTCAAATCGACAACGCCAAAAATTGTCTACAACGTCAAAATCAAAAATCACTTGAAATGATCATTTACAGCGTCAAAAATCAGTATCATAAGGATAGGACTACCAGAGGAACGTGGCACGTTTCGCTCTTCTCAAATTTAGTGGCACATTCTCTCGATATTTGTCACGGCCCTTCGAATGTAAGATATAAGGGGCGAACTGTGCCACTAAATTTAAGAGGAGTAAAATTTCTGTAGACTCTCTCAGAAACGCTTTTTGTCTCCTCCCTCGCCAGGAAAACGTTCTTTTATAGAGGTCAATAGTCAACCAGAGAAAAGATAGTTGAGTCTGTCGCACAGAGAGTCAAAATGAATTCAGAACAAATTCTATATTCAATAACTTTCAAAACTATTTTTTCGAGAGTAACCACAATAGATTCATCCATAAACATAAACGATGTCATTCAACTCAATGATACCTAAAAAGCCCCTTTTTTGCCGAAACATTTTCAAATATCGAGCATCATAATATCTCTTCAAAACTCGTAACAATTTCAAAATTTTTAATTATAGAAATATTTTGCAAAAACTACACCACCTTGAAAAAATTGGATCAAAAGACATTTTTTTCTATCCACTGGGAATTCTGAAAATTGCAATTCCCTTTGAAACTAGAAACCATCCAAGTTTTTTTCGCGCCATTAGTCTATTCATAGATTTTGGGCAGCAAAAATGCGTTTCAATCAAGGTATAGCTAGATCATATGCTGTAATTAATGCACAAACTTGTTACTAAAATGTGCTCAAATTTGGTTGAAAAAAATGGAAGAACTGACCGTATAACACTTAGTTTGCAAGCTCGCTAATCTAGGCATTAAAATGCACTATTTCTTAGTAGGATAACCTTGATCAACTACTCTCACAACTCAATCCTTTATATTGGCCGCTTGCTTTAGGGTTCAGTTAACGACCAAATTGAATGAATTCATAATGAAAAAATTAAATCTTAAGGAAAAATTGAATCTTGAGAAAAATTGAATCTTAAGAAAAAAATGAACCTTTAGGAGTCGTTTGAACACTGTGCGGTCTGCGAGGTCCACCAGTGATTCCAGCTGAGTGTCCAGGTACTCAAGCAGTGGACCGACCACTGCCTCCGCCTCAGCTGCCAACGCCTGTCTGTTCTGAGTCTGTTTCATTACCTGCAATAGTTTTATTACTCGCCAATACATACTAATTTTGAGAGCAGCAAGCTGTACAGAGCAAAATAGTACCTTTTTGCTCTGTAAAGTATTTATCATAAATCTGGATTAAACGAATACTTGAGAATCCTGCCGTCCAAAAAACATAAAAAAAACAGGGTGTTGATGTACAATATCAAAATTGAAAAAAAAATAGAATTGGCTAGATCAAATAAAAAAAACGGAAACTGCCTATGTTCTCAAGTAGTGCTACTCTACTACTTACCACAGATGCGTTGCCCTTGTGTTGGTTGAGGTTAGCGGCCAGTTTGTTGACTGAGTCCTCGATGGCGTGTTGCATGGTGCTGGCATACTGTCCTGCTAAAGCGTCGATATGATTGGACAGTTTGCGCTGCACTGAATTCAAGTGCTGAGTAGCCTCCTCCCCTATCGAGGCACCTGAATCACAACAAACTCAACAGTAACAAAATATAACTCCTAACAAAACCTAAAAACAGTAAAATTTAAGGAAGGCGACAACTTACATGGTTTGAAAGTTAATATAAAACGTAAGAATTTCGGTTTAAGATTGCCCGATCTAAAGTCCTACCCTCTGTTGGCAAGCTCGCAACACGTTGTCGCGTTTGCGGCGGTGAGAATATTTCGATTTGTCTTTTACTGCGAGAGTACTCTATTATAGCGAGTTGTCTTTTATTTCGAGTTGTATTACGGTGCACCTGTCATTGATAAACTTGATTATTTTGATATTGTGTCCATAGCATAGAACTAAAGTATAAAACTAAAGTTCAATACTAGCGAACGCTTAACGGATCTAAGCGAAGAAAGAGCGGATTTTTATATAACTTTTTTGTCAACAAAGACAGGTTTTCTATCATAATACAATTGGGCTCTTTTCCACTTTCCCCCCATTCTTGAATTTCAGTCTTGAAAAACTACTTTAGCGTTGTCATAATGTAATGAAAGTTTGCATGATGAACAAACCAACTATTGTGAACACATTTGTTCTTGATACCTTAAATTGTAACTTCACACATTCAGCCATAATAACACATAAGACAAATTGAAATGTGTATGTGTGGTGTGGGGGGAGCATACAATTGTGATGTAGGATAGTGAATGATTCTAGTTTCCCTCACCTCCCAGTCCCTCGTAGGTCTTCTCCAACTGCACTCTGAGTTGCTGCACATTGTTCATCAGAATGACACCCGTCTTCGCCTCCGACTTGTACTCGGGGAAGAAACGGGTCACTATCTGTGCATACTTCAGAAGCACCGTCTAATACACAACACACAATCACAACACAATGTAAGCAATCAAGTGACCAACTTCAATTTTTATTTACAACCCCCCCCCCCCCCCACCCGCACTACCAACTACAGGACCATCCTAAGGGAGGGGTGTCATCAATTTTACTGGTCCCCTCCTTATCACCTTGAGTCAGATGAAATTGGGACCGAAGTGTTGAAAGCCGTGTGTTTAACATACTCGGTAATTTTTGAAAAGACGGAAGGTCTGCAATATTATCTGAGCCCATCTCAGCCGATAATCCCTAATTCCTGCTCAATAAAAGCAAAATTATGATTGAAGTTTTTCTAGCTCTAAGTTCGACACGATATACAAAAATTGGTTAGATCGGTTAAAACTATTGATTGAAACTCATTGTCTCCTCCTTCTTAGCTTTGCATTTCAGATTTCTTTTACTAATTGGTCGAATCGTTCATGTGGTAAACTGGCATTTATTTAATTGGGGTCTCACACATCGTCAACCTCTAGCTCTCAATTAAGTAACCTTCGTCAACCGTAGATTACTTTGCCTTGACCTTGACCTTGAACCTGACTGACCTCGAGCACCATGGCGAATCTGATCATGACGTGGTGCATGGAGTGTGGCTCACTGCACTCCATCTTTTTGATCACCTCAATCGGCTCCCCCATCCTCGCAAATGTGTCCACCACACTGTGCGAATACCTCGCAGATCCAGCCGACAGTTTGAACTACAACACAATTCACACATTTCCTTTTGAATACATTCCATGTTAATACTGAGCCATTCGTAGTCTTAATTGTCTTCTAATTAACACTTTATTCAACCAATTTTGACATAATTTGTACCAATTCGTGTTAAGATAGTTAACGTTATAAATAGTCTCCATTATATTATATTCAGTAGGCTTTTGACACCGCTTATTGAATAACGAAAAATAGTTTTGAGAGACTTCATTCAGCGGCAATAGTTGTAAAAATATGTAGTTTCTTGATTTGGCCACAGATAAAAAAACTGGATGCAAAAACTTCATTCGGTTTTTAAAAAATCGGCTAAATTTCGCAAAACATTTCGGTTTTTTTTCCTAATTTTTGATGGCGTAATACGCTATCATAGCACTGAACTGATGATTCCAACCATTTTTGGCAAGAAACTGAGATAACTTGTCTAAAATAGGATCGAAAAAAGCGTCCTTTATATTTTTGTTTGGCAATTTATCGTTATCCAAATTAGCGTAATATTGACAAGCGGTTTCAATAAGCTATATCCAATATAGAGGGTGGTTGAAGAGATATTATATATTTGCATGACAGTAGTGTGAGGATCTAAATCTATTGCTACTGACCCCATCGGCCTTGTCCCTGTTGAGTGCACTGACTAAGAACGTCACTGCTTCATCCTCCACAGTTCCCAACCAGCACACTACAAAAGGACTGAACCACACTGCTATGTCTGTCTCCTCTTCGCTTAACTCCTTCGCTTGGGGGAGGGGCTTCACATGAAGAGTGAAGAAGGACTTCACCAGGAAGTATAGCTTCACATAGTCCGATATCTCACAGTAGAGAGTCTTCGCGTGCTCCTCCATAGCATAACGCAAATCCCCCGCCAACATCTTCCACATTTCAAACGCAGACAACTGACCTACGTTCAGTTCTGAGGGAAATTGGTTAATTTTGGAAGAGTAGATCTTTTTGTCTTCGTCTATAATCACTATGAGTAAGGAGAGAAGGTTGCGCCAGAAGTCTAAACTACGGAGTCCCGGGGCTCCCGAGGCTGCCGCCCGATCCTCTTCCCCGCCACTGGAGGCACTGGGGTTGTTGGCTTCGTTAGCCAGTTGTGTGGCTGTCATTTCGGCCACGTGATCGAATAGGTCTTGATAAGTTTGTTTAAGGCACGCTCGCACGCATTCTTTCACCACTAGTGCAGACTTCGGAGGACTGGTCGACTCCAGAACCTGAAAAAAAAAGATTAAGAAAATTTCAAATCTTTAACTCAGTCAATAGCAGTGAAATTTTTATGCCGAAGTTTTTGACCAATTTTACCCGATCTGAGAAAACCTGAACAAAATTTTCTTTTTAAATCTGCTGCGGATTATATTTATTGAATTCACTTTTGAAATTTGAAAAAAAAAGTTTTTTTTTTGCTCCATTTCTACTCGTGAGAAGCGAGCATGCTCTCTTCGCACGAAAAATCTACCAAATAAAAAATAAGAACAAAAAAAAATTAAAATAAGTGTAAAATCTACATAATGGAAAAGTAAATCTGGTTCAATAACCCCCTAACCCTGACACAGTTTGCGGCTTGTGGGGCAATAATAATGGCTATAGATTATGAGCCCCTCCCCCTCGCGTTACCTTCATGCGGAAGAAGGTGATGCTGGTGAGTAGGTCGACAGTGGCCTTGAGATCGTTCAGTTTGTCTGGACTGGCAGTGGGGAAGTTGTTCCTGTACATGGACAGGTCAATCCTAAGGGAGTTGTGTAGTGAGTCCAGCAATTTCACAAACTTCTCCTTCCCAAAGTTAGAGGCTGAAAACCAAAGCAAGCAACAATCACACATCCTGCTGAATTAAATGGGGAGGGGGTCTCACTGTTTTATTATTTGAACAAGTGACCACATACATAACCCCCTGACAAACCAAAACTTAAGTGTGTTGTGTATCTTGGGGCGTAGCAATTAGCATGTGTGCCTATTAGCACGTGATAAGTGCTTTAAGTCGGTGTGCTTTCAGAATAATAATAAATTGGGCTAAATTTTCAAATAACTTCGAAAACCAGTTGATTTGATGGAAAATAAAATTTTCTTTTTCGCCTAATTAAAAGTTTGGCAAAAACCACGCGGATAAAAATTGTAAATTTGAGTAAACAATACTTGAAATAGCGAGTCTTCGTTTTTCATTCTTTTACAATGGGCATGCTAATCGATACACATGCGAATACGCCAGTTCCCATGTATCTTGAGTATGGGTAATGTGTGACGCGACTGTAGACGCACCTGCGAATCTGGCGGAGGCAGTGACGTTGCTGTTGGAGGCGGAGTGGGCATAGTAGGCGTTGATGTTGGCCAGGAAAGTACTCATCAGGGCAGGCACTCCCGAACTAGTGTACTTGGTGGACAGGCACGAAAAGTGACTGAAAGGAAAGACAAACAATTAAACTCTTCTAGATCTCTTTATTTATTTAAATACTACCACAACCCGGTCCCCTTTGGTACCGTACCACCGAGAAACCAATATCTTCCCTTGTCAAAACTAACTGAATAATTTAGTATGTGAAATTTTAATTGCAACAAAAGGGTTGCCAAAGCTGTCATTGCTTCAAAATACGTGACCTCCCCCGCCAGTATGAAGTGAAACAACTGTTTCAATCAAAGGTTTCTCAATTAATTTTTGTTCAAAATTATCTGAAATTAACATAAAAACTTGCTAATGAGTTCACAATCTCTTTCAACTGTCCTTTTTGACTAGACTGGCGGCGAAATGATGGAAAAGGCCTCTGGTCATTCGAGCCCCCCTCGCCGGCTCACTAATAAAACATAGACTTCCGAGCAAAGTTTTATCTTTTCTGTTTATCTAAATATCTTAATGTGTCTGCTGTTTGTTCGACGAATGACAAGGAGACGGGTCTGATCCAGAAAATGAGCTTAATAGAAAATTATGAGACAGTACAGCAAACAATGCAGAAGCAAGGCACCCAATTAGGAGAAACTTATAAGCCGATTGTTGAGATAATATCTGTTACAGCAGTTAATTCTTTTTTTTTTGGTTCGATTTAAGAGCAAGAAAAATGTGAAAAAAAAATATTCGTTTACTGCTAAAAATGCCTTCATTTAGTTCATTATTAAGTTCACTGTCTAGATCAGACCCGTCTACTTGTCACTCACCGCTTGTGCTACTTACACCATGGCCTGGTAGATATTCTCCACTCCGTATCTGAGAGCGAACTCATCACACACTTCTTGAGCGACATCATCGAAGAACACCTTCCACGTGTCCTCGCTCTTCCCACTGCCCCCACTGGGCAGCTTGAACATCCCTCCCCCTCCCCCCACTGAACTGTTCTTGGGGTCGGGACTGCTCTCGCAGAGGTAGTGGAACAAGTTCTCGTGCAGACATGTGTACTGCACGTGATAAGAGGCACCTAAAACACAAACAAATTTCGTGTTTATGTTTAATATAATCGAGTGAATCTTCCAGTGAAAAGAAGTGAAAACACAGCCTCGTAATAGTAATAAAATGCACTAAAAACACAGCCTCATTTAAAAACTGTGCTAAAATCTATGAAACTTCATAGAAGAAAATATTATAAAAAGAGACGAAGAGCATCTTTGCGTCACTCGCGATACATTAAAGCAATAATTGCCTTAACGTCATGTTTTTTTGAAACATTATGAAAACTGTTAATGTCCTAAAGGAAACCGAAAAAAAAACGAATGAATTTTTTCTGAACATTTTTTCAATTTTCAAAAACCTTTTATGATTGACTGCAAGAAGCAACTTTTTCAAGCAATTTTCATTTTTCCAATGTCAAGAGATAAAACATAAATTTAAAATTCTTTGAAGTTAAAGAGTCTTTAATGAATAAATCTTTTTTCATAAGACTAACCAAATCAGAGAAAACTCGGTCAGTTTTTTCTTTCGCTAAGACTTCTGAAAACTAAAGCCCAATTTAGAAAACTCAAATTCATTTATGTTTTGACGCCATTCGCTTTTGATTGTTAGAGAGGGTAATGTACCTCCAATTTAGCAAATGAATTTGAATTCAACTTAGAAAGAATCAAAATTTAAACCGATAAAAAAACTTAAGCGTCAACAACTCGTTAGACTTTTTCCTAAAATCAAACAAAACCCCATCAGACCGAAAATTGGTAAATCAGTTCACTTCGTTCATCTACTCTTCAAAATCTGTTTGAAACATTCCAAAACAAACTAAAATAACGCGTAATCAAAAATGTTTTGAAGTAAGGCAAAGAATGTTTTCAGAACCTTTTATGGAATTGAAACGAATACAAATCTTTTCCATTCAAAACTTCTCAAAGATGATAAGATAAAAACGAGGTTGACATTTTGAGATAAGAAAAAAGACAACGCACAGTTACCGTAAAACCCGAGGAAACCGAAAAAAACTACATTTTTAAAATACTTTTAACATAGAAAAACAGACAACCCAGGAAACCGAAAAAAACTACTTATTTTTTTTACATTAAATAACATAACGTAAGAAGGGTGGATAATATGTAATTTTTATTTCGGCTGCATGTGTAATGTACTTTCTAATTAGCAACTGATTTAAATAGAACTTAAAAAGAAATCAGAAAACAACCATCAGACAGTTGGAAAATGTTCAACTAGTAAATGAAAAAAAAAAAAAAAACAATTTATTGCAAATTTTCGAAATTTAGACAAATATTTATAATTTTCAAGCTCCTAAATTTTTTTTTGAGATTGACGCTCTTTGACAACTCTCAATTAATAAGACACAGAGACGAAGCTGAACTTCACAAACAAACAAGAAAACGGCTCAGTAAAAATTTTAAAAATGCAAAAAATGACTTCAAAATCAATTTCACAAAACCTATGATGCTGCGGGATCAGATCTAAGACCAAGATTAACATGATTAGGAATAGAGTCCTCGCTTCTTGAATTACATATATCGCACATATACATAATTAGTAGATACCAGACTTACGGGAATCCGCGTTTATAAAGCGAATATAGCTAGATTCTGCTAAATTTGCCAAAAAATTTGGACTTACAGGTGCGACTTTGGAAGTCAAAACGTAAAATGATCTTATAACATTACGGTGGAATGCTTGCTTGTTCAAAACAAGCTGAATAGATAACTCATATCCTCTACTGCGAATTCTCCAACTTTTGAAGATTAGGACAAGCGCATTTTTTTCGAAACAATTAAAAAGTATTCCCCTAATCGATTCTTTAGGTGATGATATTTGAGACCGTGTTAAGAGCATTAAGTGAGATGAGTACAAACCAGAGGCTAAAATGTTTCAGTCACCAATTCAAGGTAAGAAAGAGAGATAGCCGTTTCAAGGAATAAATCAAATGTTTTGAAATCGATCAAATTAGTTGTTTAACCAGCTCTTCAACGCCAAAAGACCATATTTTCCAAAGCATTGAAGACTGTGACAAAAATTGATTATGAAATACTGAATTCTGATTGGCTTATGTTATTTTCTGTCACACGATTCTTCTGCCACGAAGGATCCACCCGAGTAATGTCATGTAAAGCAAACATTTATCAAAAAACCAACAAAGTTACTATTTAATTTCAGATTCTTGATTTTTCACCACTAGCAGACTATGTTTGTGTCGCGTGATCATTGGCAATGTAATGAGATGGGATGGTGAAAATAGCCTGAATTGAGTAGCAGCGACTCTTCGTAACAAAAGTTAGCGGGTACGAATCCCACTTTGGTCGCGGTCGTCGGATTCCCTATTTCATCCACTTCTACAAGATAGGAACGGTGAAATGGATTACAACCCCTCCCTAGGAAAGCCTTGCGAAGTGAAGAGACGGGAAATAAATAAATAAAGAGAACTAGCCTGACTTCTCCTCGCCCTTCATCTCGACACTGATGTGTAGTCTGATGGCTCCAGAGACAGCACTCTTGTCAGTCCTCTTCTCCAGATTGTACCACACATCCATCTCACCAGAGAGAGTACGCACCTAATCAAACACAAATACATATATACATAAAACCAGTAGCGGATTTAGCCGCCCCCCCCCCCCCTTCGGGATTTGACCCCTGACTGCCCAATGGCACGAAAAAACGCTATTTCTTGGTCAAAACTGTGCAAGAAGTGCCTAAAAACGTTTTTTGGCGTTTTTTTTACTGAACACGCCTGCGGCTCAAAAAAATTGATCAAAAAGGGTCTTCTAGTGCTTCGGACAATAAATTTGGTCGACCTACAAAAAAATCCGCCCCCTCGAGAAAATCCTAGATCCTCCCAAATAGACAGTTGCACAAAAAATTACCTAGTTCGAAAAAAAACATACTTCTAAAAAGTTTTCAGACCGAGTTTGTCCATTGACAATGGTCATTAAAAAACACCTCCAACAAGCACTTGGAAAAGAGTCAATGAACGCAAGAAAACAAAGAAACTACTTTTTTTTACTACTGAAACTTCTAATTGAAGATCTTTGAATTTCTAAATAACAAGATTCATAATTTCTTCATAAAGTTATCCCAATTTGAGAAAACTGGATCAATAAGTATTTTTATTTCGCGGTGAAATCTGAAAAATCAATTCTATTTTCGAAACTAGAAGTCGATCACGTTTTTCGTGACCTTAATACTTCTGCTGTTCGATTGTAGAGTTTGCCTTCCTTTTAATAAAGGAAATGAACTGAACTAAAAAAGAAATCAAAAGTCAAACAGCGAAAAGTAAATATGAGCTGAAATTTTTCATGACCTTAACATTATTGCTGTTCGATAAAAAAGTTTGCGTTACTTTGATCAAAAATCAAACTCGAAATAAAATAAATTTGTGCGTGAACAAATTTAAAGACCTTTTACTGAGAAAAACGAACTGTAAAATCATCAGATTTTTTGTGACCTTTACAGTTCTGATGTTCGATTATAAAGTTTGCCTTCCTTTTAACAAAGGAAATGAACTGAACTTAGAAAGAAATCAAAAGTCAAACCGCGAAATAGTAAATAAGTGCCGAAATTTTTCATGACCTTGACATTATTGCTGTTCGATAAAAAAAAGTTTGCCTTTAAAGACCTTTTCCTGAGAAAAATGAACAGTAAAATCATCACGTTTTTCGTGACCTTTACACTTCTGCTGTTTGATTGTAGAGTTTGCCTTCCTTTAAACAAAGGAAATGAACTGAACTTAAAAAGAAATCAAAAGTCAAATCGCGAAATAGTAAATAAGAGCCGAAATTTTTCATGACCTTAACATTATTGCTGTTCGATAAAAAAGTTTGCCTTTAAAGACCTTTTCCTGAGAAAAATGAAAAGTAAAATCATCACGTTTTTCGTGACCTTTACACTTCTGCTGTTCGATTGTAGAGTTTGCCTTCCTTTAAACAAAGGAAATGAACTGCACTTAAAAAGAAATCAGAAGTCAAACCGCGAAATAGTAAATATGAGCCTAAAATTTTCATGACCTTAACACTATTGCTGTTCCATAGAAGAGTTTGCCTTACTTTGATCAAAAATCAAACTCGAAACAAAATAAATTTGAGCGCGATCAAATTTAAAGACCTTTTCCTGAGAAAAACGAACAGTAAAAACATCATGACTTATAAAAGAGTCGTTAATACTTTTATCGAATCAATAAATATCCATGCCCTGAGCCTAAAATTAAAAACAGTTTTTCAGCAATTTCTTTGAAACAATTGAGAGGATATAAAACTACGAATGCTCGATAATTCGTGCAATTAGTGCGTACGCGGCGAACCAATCTGACTAAAAAACATTAGGAGAGGCATAATATTTGGTCTAACTGCTGAATCATTTTAAGTATACAGCCAAAAACTTGCAGCTCAAAACAAATTGAGAAAAATAACTATTTGCACATTTGCAAATCACTGTTTTGTATGCAACTTAGATGTTTCATATAATTTTGGTACCAAATTTGCATGGAAAGTTTTACCTAAATAAGTCAATTGCTCTTCCTACTACACAAATAAAGCTGCATTTTGCAAATACGAGCAAAAAATGGCAAATGGGAATTTTCTATAACAAGAAAACAATGAAATCTTTCAAATAGCAAAAAAAAAACCAAAAAAATAGCCAACAGACCGACCGGACAGTTGGGAAAAAGTCAATGGCAGCAACTAAACAGAAAAACATAGGTTAACTTCTGAAAAAAACTTCAACTTTCAACTTCAAAGAAGAAATACATGCCATTAAAGCGCTTTGATTTTCAAGAACAATTTATGATTTGTAGTTTTTTGACAAAATTAACCCAATTTGACAAAACTGAACCAATAGATAAAACTTTTATTTCTCTTGGAAAATCGATAATTAAATTTCACTTTCGAAATAAGAAGTCGATCACGTTTTTAGTGACCTTTACACTTTCGCTGTTCGATAAAAATCAATCTAACAAAGAAAATTAATTGAACTTCAAAACAAATCAGAATTCAAAACCGCCAAAAAGTGATTTTGAGCCTGAACAAATTTCAAGAATTTTCCTGAGAACATACGCCATTGACTATTTACAGTTTTCGATTCTACTGCCTTAGCAGTTGAGCCTTATGCGCAAATTGTCGTCGAAATACCAGCCATTACACAGATGCGAAGCTGCACTTAGCAAACACTAGCCCAAAAACGACAAAAAAGCAGCTGAATAAAGTGAATAAAAAAGTAATAAGACTCGAATTAGTAAAACTTAAGCTTTGTGTCGGATTTGAACCATAAACCTCAAGCTTTAGAGTCTAACGTCCTTCCCTCTAACTCACGGACGCTCAACGATCGTCAAATACTAGCCACAACTAAACAGAGAACAGATGCTATGGCATTTCCAAAACTACAGATCGTGATTAAAAGTGCCTCCAAATGACTATTTTAAATTGAGAGTTGGGCTGGAAAAAATTAGAGTCCTACTAATACGACGCAACGCTTGCTAGTGGTGTAAATGTACTGTCTGTTAATTACCAAATACAGCTGAACACTAATTCGGCACTTGTTTCGACACAAAATTTAACACTAATTCGACACAAAATTTAATCCTTAGGAAAAAAAATCGGTAAATACTTTGGAATATATGACGTGGCTGACCTGTAACATTCATGTTACCTGGTGATGATGATTACCTACCTCGATGATTGTCTGTCCCAAGAAGTCGTCGCTCTCTCTCGTCAGTTTCTGCATCAACTTCGCCCTCAAGTCATCGTCTTCATCCCACACCCGCACTTTGATTCTATCGGACGCATTGTGGCAGTCACTATACAAACATATAAGCGATATTTAACAGCTTTTATTTAATAAATTTAAAAATATCCGACAGAAACCTCAAACAGACCCATAACATTGAACTAATTTTATAATACCCGATAGTAGTAAAAAAAAAAGTAAAAATAATTTCCAATTTGGATACGATAGTTCTGAATTTTTCAGTTCAAATGAAGTTAGAAAACTCCTGGCTTATGCGAATTGGATAGAGCTTGTAGAAGGTTTCAAAAACCTTTAGCAGAAATTTTTCATAATTTGAAGCCAAGCTGAGAAGGCTGTTGACAATTTTTTTGTCTTTCTTATTTTTTCAATCTTATTTCTAGCGCACAGAGTAGCATCAACTGATCTCGTAGTCTATCCCTTCCAAGTCGCCTCATTGGTATTTATAACAAATTTCTCTCTTGTATTTGTAATTTAATTCAAATGGATGTATTCTTCTTCGTTCATAAATTAAATAGAACCCAGATACTTTTTACAAACCTTGCTGCTGCCATCTAAAAAGATCCACTGAAATAAAAACGACCACTTGCAATTAGAATTAGAAAATAAAAACGTCTTTGTCAAAAGTTTACGACAAAAGAAGCATTATTCAATTTTGAATATTAGCTTCAGTAATTGAACTTTCCAAACTAAACCATTGGAAATTTATTTTGAAAACTAGCTCAAAACTGAACGGAAAAATGTAATTCAAAAACTCTATGACTGGGTTGACTTTCTATCAAACGAGTTGCACAATTTTTTCTCACTTTCAACAAGTAGGTGTTCGAATTACAATAATATGAAATTGCTGCCATGCTTATTTGACAACCATGACTGTCGCATATATAACATTTAAAACCAATGAAGCATTAGTAGGAGAGATCATAAATGGACCTTCTGGTAAATTTTCAGACATCCATCTGCGAAAAGTTGCATTTAAGTATGTCTATAACCTATCAATAACATCAGTTATAACGAAAATTATTGTAAAATTGGAAACACGAGGCGTGTTAGTTTACTTCCAGAAACCTAAACACAAAGAGAAAAAAGTGACTGACAATGCGAATGTCTCGTTCCACTCTGGGTTGAGTTCTTGTGCGATGGTCTTTGTCCTCTTCTTCGTCTTGCCCACCTGCACTGTCACATAGGGGTCACTCGCCCCCGTCTTGTCCTTGCCCGCCAGTCCCTGTGCACACTTCACTGTAATCGAGATACGCGCCGCCCATTTAGAGGAACCTACACAAATACAAACAAAATCAAACCTATGAGGTGTTTTGTAGTGACTTCTGCTTGCAGATCAACAACTCGATCGTCGGTTCTTAATCTCACGAGCGCTGCAATTTGCAAGATAAGCTAATTGAAGTAACTTATATTAATTGAGGTACCACAATTATCGTCTGGATTAAGACTGAGCGGCTTAAAAACGGAGGGCAGAAAGTTATACCCGAATAAGTTATGTTACTCATCAATCAGAAATTAACCAGGATGAAAACAAAGTGTATTCATGCTCACTGCTTGAGCCAGCATATTTAGTCCAACAGTGAAGAAAACTCAACAGTGAAGAAAGGAAATTGCTGATAACCACGACACATGTTTTAAGTGGATTTTTTTGCTCCGAACGTCTCAGAAACTTTTTTTCTTGAGTTTTGCTGTTGAGTATGTGCAAATTTTGTTGCTAATAACGAATTTTGTTAAATGAGGTGGGGGTGAACTAGTTAAAAAGATGCTTTACCTTCTAGCACAATCTGTTCTGCGTGGCGCATCTGAGACTGGTGTTCTCTGGTAGATATTGCGAACACAGTGCGTATGGTCTCGAACAGCTGTTCCTTCTCCTTCTCTCTCAACTGCATCCTGTCTCTAATAGCCGCCACAATAGTGTTCACCTTGTCCCCGTCACCCTGCTTCGCATTCTTCTCAGCCGCCCCTGCAACACACAGACAACTATAAATATAAATATCCATCACTGAGGATATCATACAGAAGAAGCATTCCTGAGATTATTTCCAAGATATTTTTTTAATTACTAATTAATACACGATGAAGTACTCTAACGGTCTTTACGAGACCTGTCTATCGTTTTTTTTATTAGCCCCCGTCCTAGCTCCCACCATTCAACCTTGGGCCTTTTTTCCGCGGAGAAGAGAGATGTCATCCATTTTGCCACAGCCGGTCCCACCTTGAGGAGGCGGATGACACTGGGACCCCTCCAAACGTGACAGTTAAACACTCATCAGAGTTTGGCCAAGAGAGATAGAAAGAGAATCTTGCTTATTCGCGGATCGATCTGCTAGGTTTGATCCGCGAAAACTAGCAGATCGGTTGGAGGGAAAACCTAGCGATTACCACTCACTGCTAATCATTAGCTACGCAGAAAATATTTTCTGTTTCTCCGTTTCGTTTCATGTTCACGGTAATGTTTTTGTATATGGTTTTTGAAAAATAGTAGTCGGAAATTTTTCGCTGAATTCAATTTCTAACAGGAGTGCGGCCGTAACTTCCATAAAACCACCCCTGATGGTTTATACTACCATAACCATCAATCTCCAATATCAAAACACAATGAAATAATTTTTAACGAGCGTGCGGCTGCATCACCCTCAAAACCGCTCCTGACTAGTTTATACCACCACAAACCCCTTTAAATAACCCTTGACTGGTTAATAATACTACAACTATCAAACTCAATACCACAACAGAAAAGACCGAATTGAAACAGCTAAACGAGAGTAAATAAACCAGCCGAAGTTTAAACCAACCAAAAGTTACATCATATGAATGAATTTGCATAACTTTTGTAACTGTTACATAATTGTTACATAACATTTACCTAACTATTATATAACAGTTACGTATTTTCGGATGGTGTATACTTGGACTGGTTTGTATACCACCCAGCTAAACACTACTCACTCTGCAGACAGTCTGCGTTGAGGAGGTCCTTACACTTCTCGTGACATTTCACCCCACACTCTCTGCACTTCAGCCCCTGTCTGGCCAGTCCCCACAACAGACCCTCGCACTCGAAGCAGAAGGTGGGCTTGTTCGCACTCCAGATGGTGAAGTTGTGGGGCGTTGTGGACGAGATCGGGTAGATTAAGGCTTGCAACGTGCTCTTGTACACGCCCATTTTCTAATCACACCATCATCAACGTATCATTAACAAGGTGCCAATCAATCCCAACAGAATAATGGTTAACAGAACCACTCAATGCATACTATGATTTTTCTGTAGCTATTCAGACTGCTAATCATTAGCTACGCAGAAAATATTTTCTGTTTCTCCAATTCGTTTCATGTTCACGGTAATTTTATTTATATATAGTTTTTGAAAAATATAAATAGAAACAGCCTTCCTCATGATCAAAGAAACTGTTTCTTAAGCATTCCCCTTTCAATCTAATTATTATCAATTAAACCATCGTTTTAGTTTACTTTTTCGCTTAGTATCCTGTATTCTACTGGAAATTGTATTACTAACCAGTTCGTTGTCTTGTATGGACTGCCTGACGGCCATAGTAGTGGTAGCTATGCCCTGTTGTCGCTTCATGGCCGCCAGCGACTAAACATACCATTGCATTTCCAGCCATGATCCCATAAAACATATACCATAAGGAATCATACCTCAATTTAGACCGTCCGAAACTCATAAACGGAAACGTGGAACCTACTAAACAAACGCATATACTTAATTCATACAGAAGCTTTTTTAGATGAATTTCTGTCATCAAAGAACGATTAAACTGTACGCGTATTATTTTTTAACCCATGGCATGAAAGTATTATTGCTGAGGATCCGCAAAGTCCGGACCAAATTTTTGTATTTGCAAATAAAATCAACCAATTATTTTTTAAAGAAATTACCAAAAAACGGTAGCATGTATGTCAATTGGCCGTTATGTTAACATGTGTGTCAATTGTCATATTCAAGTTCCAGATCTTCAATGCATTTATTTACGCTCGAATCAGATAACCACCTGTGCAATTTATCAAGATAGGATGTGCGAAAAGAAGAAATCAAACTAAAACAGTTAAGTCATGCTAATTGACACACATGCTAATCGAATCCCTACAACCCAGTTTGAAACAGTCGTGAAGATCAATTGTCAAAAATGAAAGTCATTTGCGACCAAGCAGTCAGTTAATTCTACTATCAAATAATGCATCTGTGGTTAAGCGGAGAGCTACTCTCTAGGCCAAAAGGACTCAGTTCCCGCTAATTTTTAACCAATCAACGTCTTGTAAACTGTGCAAAACTGATTTTCACTTTTTTCCCGAATTTTCTTTAATACGGAATCCTGCATGTTTAACCCTTCGGGGACAGGGTTTCTTCCCCTACGTTCGACTATGTACCATGTATTGTTTTAAGCTCGCAGAAACTTTTGGTTTTAAGCTCAATCAAATCTCAGTAACACCGTGAATTACCTTTGTGTATTGATTTAAACTCAGCCTTTTTCTCGTTGAGTAAAACTTCTTTTATGAGTTTTCCCAAGTTGGTCAGAAAAAGGTTATTAGAACAAGATGGTTCGCCGAACACAATGCATTAATCAGGTTGAAAGACACAAATACGCATAGATTAGACAGGCATTTTCTTCTGTTTTGATGACTCGTTAGAGCAGCGTCTCGAATGAGGGGGCTGCGACATGCTATCACTCGACCCACCCCTCAATTCTGGGTGCTAAATTTTCCCAAATGGTCTCCTTTGTTACTAATTTACTACAGCCGTTCTAGCCGAGAAGCCCTGAAGCTTTTAGAGGCGCAAATATACACTAGCTTGAGAGGGGTGGTCGAGCGCAAAAAAAGCAATTTTTCGCAAAAAGTCTGGCCAATGACAGGCCTTTAAATAAAGCCGAAAATTTTTTCGAAAACATCCCGCCAAAAAATCCTGCCCTAACAATTGATTGGGCAGTTTAAATGAGCAAACTGCCCAAACAATTGGAATATGTTGAAACTGAACAAAATTTAAGATTATCTCCCAAAAAAATCAAACAAAAAAGCGTTACAACAGAAGAAAAAAACACGAGGCAAAGCGGCCCTTGGGAAACAAGCCAACAGAGTTCGAAATGTGTCAATAAACGCAAAACAAAAAACTGACTTCTTTCTTGAAAAAACTTTCACCAACTATTTTTTACTTCCAGGAATTTTTTTTGACACGAGTGATGATCCAGTCAGTGGGTATCTGTCTGCTTTCGCTTGAGGTGATTTTTAACTATGCAACGCCATGATTCACTCAGTGAATGTTACCCGTGGCACGCGGTGATTCTTATTTGGGTAAAAAGTAGCCAGAAATATCGTGTGCCAAGTTTGAACTTAATTTGTCTCAAACAATTTAACGTTTTTCCTTAATCACTCATTGGGTTCAAACTGCCGCTCCCGATAAGCCTGCTTAAGTTAAGCCTTAATTTGCTTCATTTTTCTTTGAGTCATTAGAAATCAAATTGAGCACATGAATCGCTGCTTCATAAGTTACGCACAATTCAGACAAGCACAAACTACTCTTAACTAATGATTATCATTTGGCAGATTGCAGAGTTTATTATTCCAGCTTCTTATAGCTAAAATTTATTTTGAGCTTATACTATTTGGTGTTTCAATTTTCGAGCAGTCTATTTAACCACATTACAAGTTCTCCCCCACCCCCCCCCCCCCCCCCATAACCCGTTCCCACATCACCTTCTAACAATGCTGTAGAATCTCGTACCCAAGCACCAATTTGCTCGCACTTGAAAAGCACAAATCTAGTATAATCGCACGCGTAAAAATAGTTCGATGATGACTTTTTGCTAAAATCATAAGCATCAATACTCATACTTCAAAATAACAATAGCGATTAAAATTAGTTTTTTTTTCTGGTATCTTAATAGACATGGTGTGGTGAATGGTACGAGGATGGGGGGTGGTTTTTCAAAATTTCAGTCGCGCATTCTTACAGTTCACAAAATGAATGGCTAGAGGGAGATTCAGCATAGATGCAACACATTAAAATTTCAACCCACAAACCCTGTTTTAAAATGTCTTTAAGAAGGATTTAAAATGGTCGAAGAAGCCAGACAAACGTGTTTTTTGACTTTTTTAAAATCATGTACATTGATCCTTTTTCTAGACATATTAGAAAGAGAAACACTGAACTAAAAAAGGCCAGTTAAGCAGAAAACGCGTTTTATCTAATGTACAATGATCAACAAAAATTCAAATTTAGCTTTTAAAACTCATGATGACAATTTACAGTCGACCATATATAACAACACATGGTTAGAAGAGTGTAAAAAACAAGTAAACGAAAAGAGTTGATTTAAAAAAACTGAACACTTCAAATTTTGAATTTCGAAAGGAAAAAATCACTTCGAAGCTCTTTGATTTTCAATTATTGTTTATGATTGGAATTTTTTTCTTACATTATTCCATTTAGACAAAACTGGGCAATTAGTTTTATTTAGCTGTAAATTCAGAAAAAAGTCCACTTTGGAAACTAGAAAACTGTCTCGTTATTGTTCGAAGCATATTGCTAAAATGCTTCAAGGTAAAAAACAATTTGAAAATTTTTGAAAGGTTGATGAAAAAGACGACGATGAGCTTGCTTTGAAAAGTTTTTAATAAACAGATTCAAGTGATGAAAACAAATGGAGCATTTCAAAGCTTACCTAGTGATAGCTTGCTTGAAGAAACTAGCTCTTCGGTAACCAGTCAAGGATATCAAAACAACTGTTCTAAGGTTAAATATCGCTTGATAGCTTGCTAAAAAATTTTGGAGCTTTTCGCCAAGAACAATCTATCAAATTAGTTTTCTACGAACATGATCAAGCTATTATTTTAAGCTATCAAAAGACTTAATATGTATCATTGTTTCTTCTCTTGATAGCTTGCTTCAGAAATTTTAAATAAGTTATCAGTTGGAAAAGATTCAATGAACGCAAGTAAACAGAAAAATAATATATCTTTCGAACTTTCAAAAAAAAGTTAGCATTCACACCTTTGAACTTCAAGACGAAATTAAGATTGAAACTTTTTTGATAAATTAAAATTTTTATTCAGCTGGGAAATCTGCAAATTAAAATCCAAGTTGGAAATTAGAAATCGATCTTGTTTCTTGCGACCTTTACGTTTTTGCTAATCCAAATTTTCAAATCGACTGCCCTACACAAGTAGAGTTTACCTTCCTTTCAACAAAAAAATGAACTGAACTTACAAAAATCAAAAGTCAAACCACGAAAAATGAGATATGAGCGTGAACAAATTTAATGACTTTTTCCTGAAAAAAAAAACGAACCAAAAAATCGTCAAGACCTGCATAAAAGTCTAACACGTTTATTGACTCGTACTTATTAGCAAAAAGTTGGATCAGACAGAAATAATTAATCACAGAACTAATTACCTATTTCAGGATATATTTTGCAAACAATCGTTAGTTTTTTAGACATAAATATGTCTCAAATTCACTTAATGATTCAATATTGTATGTAAACTTTGTTAGCAATTAGCAGTTTGCTTTTTAGTTCCAACTTTTCTGTTGAAGCAATTTGCCATTTTATTTCTTAGAAGTTTTTGCTGTCTATGCCGAATATTCCCGCCATGCTTAAGACAAGTTCGCTTCAATCAAACTCAATTTAAACATTCAGAACAGTTCTAAGTCATATTTTCTTTAGAGTTAACAGGTGCAAAAAGTTTGGAAAGGCCATTAATTATATTATATGATTTCTATAAATTACAGAAGATACATTTACATCTTTCGGTGTTAAAAAATGAATATGAAAAATAATTCTCCAAACTTATTTCATTTTTCGCTCCACAATTGGCACGCAGAGGCCTGGCGCTATAGGTAATTAATTTGATCAGAATTTAAGAATGACTCTCATTTACAAGACATGTCAATTTATAATTTTTCAAGACTATCCGAACTTTTCGCTACTGCTAACGGACATGACATCGTCGTTCAATTGAGGACTAAATAAAATCAACTCAAACGAACGAACGAACGCAACAAAAACCATGAGTTAATCAAGTTGAACTGAAATCATGGGTGGTCACAAGTCAAGAAGAGATTCAATACTCACCGCTATTTTGAACTGAAATTTAAATTCACAACATTAATTTCTCATCTCAAACCAAATGATCGATCAACTAACACTTAGTTATAGGCTAGATCTACAGGGTAGAGAGTTATTGCGCAACAGTATGACATTTAAGTCCCAATCAATAAGACAAGTGGAAGCTCCCCTAAAAAATACTAGGATCAACGAACTTTCGAATGCTGGATTTCTTTATATGTGTTTCATCTATAGACACAAATATCATACTGGCGACCATTAAACAGCTACATGATCTCAAACATCCCATAGAAAAAAATCCAGAAAAAATATGCTGCCATTATTAAGTATTGTAGCTTTTACCCCCAAGTGTAAAAAACATTGTCAAGTTGCACGTCATTTAAGCGCCATTAACATTTCTTGTAACTTTTCAAGCCAATATGACACCAATCTTACTCACTATCAGTTCACAACTGAAACTATTGCATAAATCAAGCACAACACCTGGATTTGTTTAGTCTCAGTGATGTTTGAGCCAGAAAATGTTTCACTACACCCATAATTCAAAAAGAGTGAAAATTAACCACTCACCAAAGGTATCGAAGTCCTTCTGGCCTTCATAACATGTGAAATGTCTTCTATGTTGCTCAGCAAAGATGTGTGCGGACTGAAATAACATTCTATAAATAAAAATAACCACAAAAAACTTTCGTTTTTTTTCCAATGTCGGCAAGCTTCTGTAAATCACAATGCATTCCCAAACTTGGATTAAAACATTTCAACTTCTACCCGACTCATTGAAACAAAATTTGCGGGCCATTACAAAAAAGATGCCCTTTAGAAGATGGCCAAATATTTCGTGAGTGATACGAGTTTCCGCCAGAGTGTTGAAGCCAAAATAAAAGCAAACGAAATATGTTAAAGGGTTCAATGCATGTATTAACCGTTTCACTTTTCTGACCCAGAAGTACTGCAAATTTATTCATTTTTTGAGTCCCTGACCTCGTTTTGCCTCTATCAACACCCAAAAAAAATCCGTTCTAAGCCTGATGCAAATTTTCTAAACATCAAATAACTATTTTACGAACTAGGATATTTATAAAAGACTTTTTCATACCAATAAAATTACTTAATTGTTCCGACCATTGAAAATAGGGAAGAATTTTGTGTTCGGTTGTTTTAGTTTTTTCTGTTTTTTTCACGCAATATCAGGTACCAAAAATAATCACCGGAATCGGTCGAATGACATACAACATTAAAGCCCGTTTAGCCATGATTCGAAGGACGTTAAATTTTTTTAAACAAGTTGTGCCAGTGTTGAGAAAAACGTTTGAATTTTTGAGATGTAGTCTTATTTCGAGCGAGTAACTTTCGTTACATATTTCGGTTGAGTAACATTCGTTACATAAAATTGGCCTTTAGGCTAAAAAAAAACATGGTTTTATTTAAAAAATCACTAGTTTGAAAACTTCACATAGCGCTTCCTTGCAAATGAAAAATTTCCAAAAGTATTTTCAAATGATTGTGAAAAAATAGAACAATTTTTGAAAAAAAATCGATTTTTTAATAATTTTTCTGTTTGTTATTCATTTTTTGATGACAACTGTTGTCAATTATGCCTAAATTGTTAACTTTTTACGCGTTTTCAAAGTTCTTTCATCACTACGCACAAAAAACTACACTAAATTGAAGAACAAAATAGAAAAAAAAAACTTTTTTTGTAGTTGTTTTATGACGCGTCCAGACAATTCGGCAAAGACAATTCAGCCGATTTGAAATTCAGACAATTCAGCCAAAATTATGCAGACAATTCAGCCAATAATTGGGACCGCCGCAGTCGCGCCAACGTGTTGCGAGCTTGCCAACAGAGGGTAGGACTCTATATGAAATTTAGAGCCGGTTATCGCCGCGAAGCGCCGACGCGCGCGTAGCGCGCCCACCGGCGACCTTAAACCGAGAAATAACTCCAATTCCATTTTTTTTCCTTCCGAATCTAGCGTTTTGTAAAACTGGCTGAGTTGTCTCAGGCTGAATTGTCTGTATATTTCTGGCTTAATTGTCTGAATTTCAAATTGGCTGAATTGTCTTTGGCCAAATTGTCTGTGCGCCGTTTTATGAATGTGGTCGAAACATTATGTGCTAGCTGCACAGCAACCGGCTATCCTTGTTTCTGTTTGTAACTATTCTGATTTTTTTTGAATTTGACTAACCCAACAACGTCGTTCAATGTGTCTTTTCTCTCTCCCTGAAACAAAATAAGAGGTAAACATTAACGTAAACAACACAAACAAGGTCGAAATTGGAAGTTAGCCTGATGACGGAACTGAGAAAGCAACTGCCGGCGGAGTTTTAGGCTAGCGTAGCTGAAACGGAACGGTCGGTTTAGCTATTTTTACCACCTGTCTTTCAACCAAGTGAGGATAGGAGAGATTGACCAAGTGACGCTAGCTTACCCTAACGCATGCTCCTTGGATTCAAATGGCCTAACAGCAAATCCTAGCCGAAAGTATATTTGAATCGACACAACATAACTTTGAAAAAACGAACTTCAATATGGTACGAGAAAAATTTAAAACAATATTAGATCCAATCTAAGTCTTTTTTTAAAAAAGTCGATTAAAAGTTTAATGTTTGAAGCAAAATTTCAGTTTGCAGAAAGGAAAAATCACATATTTTGCATATATTTCCAGGGTCTGTTTGACCGGTAAAAGTAACCTGAGCTAATACGAGTTTCCAAAGCGATCGCTTCTGTAAAGTGGCCACATGATTGCAGTCTGTCGTAGGCTTAATTGTCCGCCGCTTAGTTGCCCTCGCCATCACCGACGCCAGCTGTGCTTTTTCCAGCCACCTCGATCTAGCACGGATAAGTTTAACAAAACTCTTCAGTAATCGTTGATGTTGCTTTTTAGAACACGAATTCAGTTTGTCTGGCAAACTTTTCCAACGTGAAGGCATTCTAGCTCGTTTGTCGTCTATCTCGTGTAATTTCGAAACAAACGAACATGTTTTCGATTCGTGTAACCCACGACATGCGCGAAAGTATAAATTATTGGGGTTGAATCCACGACGAAAATGAAAATAATGTTTTTGGTCTAAAATTTTAGTCGGCGTGGTCCAATTGGTCCCCATAATTTCAGCTAAGTGATGCCTGTCACTGGTTTCACAAATTGAATCTCTCCGTAGAAGGATACTGATGTCGTCATTACTATGTTTGAACCACTTCAACCTCAGGCTTTTCGAATGATTAGCAAAAAAATATATAAACATACTAGAAAAAAAAACAAAAAAATAGGAGAAACTTTCTTGCAAGATAGTTGCGCGCGAAAACATATTTTCAATCCTTTTTATGGATGCATTCATTTCTTAAAGAAAGCAGATCCTTTGTTGCAGTTTTGGAGTATTTCTTAAATAAATATTGAGATTATTCAGCTGCATAATTATCAAACTAATAAGTATTGGCCCCGGTATTGTTATCTGAAAACATACTCAATTTTTGGAAATAGTATTAAAAAGAGGGACTTGGGGAGCGGTCGATTATCTTCTGGGGGGATCTAATCTGCCATCGAAATTCGATTCAGTAGCCTGAGTTTGAAATGATTCCTGTGTTTGAGATTGAGAGTGGTTGGTCTTTTCGGCTGATACAGCTTTCGGCCCCTCGAGGAGACTTTAGGCGTGCAGGCCGGTGTGATATCTTCTCTGAAATTCTGCAGAAACTCCAGAAGCACTGAAGTATTCGTGGTCGCAATTTTTCGTTCTGGTTTCCTTGATAACTTTCTTTCAAACTGGTACCCAAAGTCTAGTTCTAAATTCAGCTCAGATAATTTCGTGGCATCGCAAGCCGACAGAGATTTGTGAGCTGCTTTTTTCTTTCTTCTCAACTGTTGCGAATTTGTTACTAAGGAACTACGGGGTACTAAATTTCCCGGATTAAGTCCGTTTCCGCGCTTGGCTTCCGAGCAGCATTTTTCGTCACTGCTGTCACTGACTCCGCCACTGATCTCTTTGCTAGCTGACACTTGATACTCCATCAGTCTAATATTCACAATGGGCTGTGTAGATGTGTTGCAGTGTTGGCTATTGCTCAAAATTTCATGCGACTTCGTTTTGGATGACAATGTTTCGACACACATCTTGAATTGGCTCAACAGATTTGACCCCGATGCGGGCATATGTAAAGGTCAGAGGTCAACAGATGAGGTTGACGAAAATGGTCAATTTCATATAGAAGGTCACATTGATCTCGCTACCAATCAAGGGACTATTTAGATAAATTCCCCTTCATAGAATAATAAATTAAAGTTAAATAAGAACTGTAAGCAGAAGTCAATGGTCCTTTTTAACTGACCATTTTATGAACATACGAGTATCACAAGATATAAAAATAAAGGAAATAAATCGCAACGAAAACTTTATTTCAATGAAAGCAACTGAAACAAATTACAAATGTGGTTCTAAGTACAGTTCTTGTTAAGAAATAATGACAATTTTAGATCTGTAACTTCATATTAGAGTTATAATAGTGACAATTTACTGTCATAACAACTGTCACTTCCAACTTTTTCAATCAAAAATTTGCAAGGCTTTGAGTCTTAAGGCAAATTATTCAGTCCGAAAGTCAAGTCTGCTCAAAAATGTGTCAAAATCTCTGGAAATGGCGCCCATAAAAACTAATACCACTGCAAAAAACCCAAAAATTAATCTCGCAGAACCTAAATTGTTTATGGGCTTTATCAAACTACTAATTTAACGCCACAAAAAAAACAGCACTATTCAAGCTGTTTTCTATGCTGTACATAATAAAAAAATTTAAAATGAGTGGAAGGGTTGGCTAAAAAGTTTTCAATCGGAATAAAAATGAATTAGAGACAGGAAATATTTTAATGGGCAAATCAATCAACTATTAAGCGTGTTTAGAACCCATGCAAAAACTAGAAAATAATACTGCAGTGTATATAAAAATGTCTTCTATCCGCAATGTGTGCTGAAATTAAAAAAATGCAGTCAAAATAAAGTCAGGCTTTAATAGCCACCAAATGTCAACTCGTCAGAACTTCAAATTCGCTGAAGCACGCTAATTATCAAGGAAAACCTAAAAACCTAACCATATAACTGCTTTGATACAAATGGAAAAACTGAACGATTGAGAAATATATTACAGAAAAGGAGAAACACGATACATTCATTATCGAATTGTTTATCGGAATTATAATCTCAATTTGTCTGTAAAAATTAAAGAAAAAATTAAGGTATGACTGCAAAAACTACAGAAGAAAAAAAAACATTTAAATATAGTACTTCCTATTATCATCATATATTTCAAAAAAAGCTTTGAAAATTCGTGCCGCAGAATAAAAAAACATTAATGATCTTTCAATTCCGAGAATCTATAACTATTGACTTATTTTTTACAATCAAATTGACCTAAATTAAGAAAATCGAATTCATAGACATCTAAATTTTTATTCTACAGGAATTTTAAATAAAAACTGAAAACAACCTTGAAATCCAAATTTCATCATTCAGTGCTAATGATTCCAGACAGAAAGAACATAATTGAGAAATTAGTACACAAATTTTCTCAAATTGTGTTTGATAGTAGACAAAAGTGATCACAACAAAGGTTCCTTTGAACTACATCAGAAATAATACAGTGCAATTTTTTGCTTAAATCAGAGCCACTATTTACCCCCAAAATGGGCTATTATTGGATGCTTCAAGTCAACAAGACGTACGCAAAACTACCTGGTCAATCAATTATGGACCAAATTATATCAAAGTGAGCCGCTTAATTATCCAGCAAAGGGTATTATTTCCTATATTTTCTATAAAATAATTTTGTTTGATAGCCAGAAAATGTGATTCGTACCGTATTGTAAAACGTGATTAGTACTGAATATTAAATTTTTATAAAGAGCAAAAACTGACCCATTATTGGGAATAAACTTTGGGTTTCAATTTCGCAAAATGAATTGAACCATAATTCTATGCAATTTTTATTCTGATCATATATATTTATTGTCTAATGTCAACACAATATGAAAAAACGAAAGGAATGCAACCGTAAAAAAAACCAAGGTCATCCAACAACGCTTTTAATTTTAAAACTGAAAGATTAAAACAATCATCTTAAAGGTTCTTTTCAAACTAAAATGGTCAAATCTCCAAAACTACTGGGTTTCTTCCATTGGCAAGCTTAGTTCTCCTTTTCATTCGCCCGTATGAACATCATTTGCTGCCCTCAATAGATAAATCGGATCAATTGAGCAATCTCCCCCCCATTCTCGCGTGAGGGGGAAATAGCTCAATAGGTACTTGAGATATGTTTATAACCACTTGAAAATAGATTGAATGACATGAAATCATAAAACATATTTTCCAACGACTGTGGAAAGCCAAAATCTACAATATCAAAGCTCAAAAGTTTCATTCGGATTGAAAAAAGAATCAATAAAACAGCCATAAAAAGCGACTTTTTTTCCTTTCTTAACATGACAAAAAGGTGCGAACAATATTAAGGTGCTGCGGAGAACTGTTTTTGCTATTCAGATACAACGCTAGAGCACCAACCCTGGTAAATCGCTTTCTTCGATGAGGCTATGGTCGCCTAAACAAAATTTGCAAAAAAAAATTTTTTTTTCAAAATTTTTCTCGAAACTCATGTAAGATAACTTCAGTCGGTCAATTGATTGCGTGCTATAAACACATCATCCATCTACTTGCGTTTGCTGACGTCTTTTTGTAGAGTTTTTTCGTTTTTGCTGGGTGGGGAAGATTGCTCAATTGATCCGATAAATCAAACGTGATTAAAATAAAACATCTTGACACCACCCAAGATAGTGCTGAGAATTTCGAACTGAGTTAAATTTTTTAAGTTTTTGTTTGTAAAATTCCGTTAAATAAAAAAACGGCATATCTCGGAAACTAAGATGTTTTGAGCAATCAAACTTAGAGGAAAGAATTGCAATCTCTGAGAGTACCCTGAGATTACCCCATTATATGGTTGAAATTGAAGGTTTCGTTTTTTAAAAGTTTTTAAATCAGGTTTCTTGAAATGTTTTTTTTTCCAAAATTGAAAAAACGTCAAGTCCTAGAAACTGGAACGGTTTCAGCGGTGAAATTGGGAGGAAAAATTTGCAACCTTTGATACTAAACGGGCAGCACCCAGACATAGTGTTGTAAAATTGGAAATTTTACCTGTTTTACCGGAAATTTTATTTGTTTTGAAAAAATTTTGAACATATCAAA